CAGGGGGAGGAGGGTGTGGCCTGGGAGGGCGCGCTGCCGCGGGTGCTCAGGGGGAGGGGGGCAGTTGCGGCCTGGGGAGAACGGGGGTTGGTGGGGCTGGGGCAGGCTCCCTACTGTGCTCCTGGGAAGCCGCGACCCCAGCTCCTAGCTCAGGGGCGGGCAAACTTGTTTTGGCCTGAGGGCCGCATCGGATTTCCAATATTGTATGGAGGGCCGGTTAGCAGAGGCTGTGCCTCCCCAAACAGCCAGGCATGTCCCCTATCTGACCCCCCCCCGCTTCTTGCCCCCTGACAGCCTCCTCCCCCTTCCTCCCCCCCAGACTCCTGCCCCATTCAACCCCCCTGTTCCCTGCCTTCTGACCGCCCCAACCCCTATCCACACCTCCGCCCCCTGACCACTCCCCTGAACCCCCCCGCCCTCTATCTAACCCCCCCTCTCTCTGCCCCCTTACCACGCTGCCTGGACCACCGGTGGCTGGCGGCGCTACAGCTGCACTGCCCAAAGCACCAGGACAGGCTGCCACGGCACCCGGCTGGAGCCAGCCACGCCCCCGCGCAGCACAGAGCACCTGCAGCTGTGCTTCCCCAGGAGCTTGCAGCCCTGCCGCCCAGAGCATTGTGCCGGCAGCGGAGCGAGCTGAGGCCACAGGGAGGGGGAACAGCAGGGGAGGGGCTGGGTGCTAGCCCCCCCGGAGCAGGAGCTCAGGGGCCAGGCAGGAGGTCCCGCGGGCCGTAGTTTGCCCACCTCTGTCCTAGGTCCGTTTGCTGCCTCTGCTCCGCTCCATGCCCCAGTTCTGCAGCTCCCATTGTTTGGGAACTGCAGCCAATGGGAACTGCAGGGGCAGTGCCTGTGGGCGGAGGCAGCACGTGGATCTAGGAGCTGATAGAGGGGAGTTCCTGTCGCCCTTCCGGGGAGACACCCCTCTCTCCCCCCGGTAATCCCTAGCCCTGAGGCCTGCACACCCAAACTCCTGCTGCTGGGGTGTGGGGAGGCACGAGACTGCACAAGCAGCAGCCGGTACTCCTGGCCCAGGAGCTGGCCAAGCTGGTCAGGAGCCTTAAACATAGGTAATGATTATGAATGCTGAAAAATCCAGATATTTTAAGAATCAAGATGTGCACCGTAAACATGATCATCTCTTAAAATTAGAGGGCAATGCAAAATATGATGTATCATACCCACAAAGTGGAAGCCTTCCTCAGATGTTCCTTTTTACTAAAGTAGAGCATCCAAAAATATGTTTATAGTCTATCTTGCACTTAGCTTTGATCATTCATTTTTATTCAATCATTTAAGATACTCAGTGATGCTAGCACACCTAACTAATATTAGCTGACTTAGTTTAAAAACATAAACTTAAATGCCCACTTACGTAAATGCAGCTATTTGAAGTAAAGACTAACTCACTTGGTGACTTTTAATATTGACAGACATCCTGCTGGTTAATCTCCAGAATAAAATCTCTTTAATTGAAGGCATGCTGGGAAATGTCATAAAACAGCAGTTTAATAAAAGTTGTTCAAATGTTTGTTTTCTCCAGAGTATGGCTGTGTACTGATCTTTCCCTTCCACCTGCTCTATAATTTTAAGGAAAATCCTCCTGGGAAGTAGTAATTTGCAGGGGTTTTTAGGGAAGTAAACCCTTTACACTTATTTCTGTCATTATATTTGATTGATCAGTGTACACTGTTTTTAAAAAATATGTATTCTACAAATTTTGAATATCCTCATTTTAAACTAAACATTAAAATGAATATAGTAAATCTTAAAAATTGATTAAATATTGGAAAAGAAAATAAGCTTTGCTCTAAAATTTTAGATCCTTCCATTTGTAGAATATAAGTCCATATGAAATATGAAATTTCAATTTTACAGTAGGGCAAATGTCTGTTTCTTCCTACAGGTCTGATTTTATTAACGACTTTTTTAAGCTTGCTGTATTTTTCAAATCTGTTCAGTTAAGAGGGAAAAAAAGGGGGGGGGGGGAGGACCAAGCAAGCTTAATTTCATAGTTCACCAAGTAGTGATGGGTTAGTAACTAATTTTGATCACTGCCATCTTTAAAACAGGCTTTGAACTAGTGATTTAGAGATGAAAGACTATTGAATTAACAGTTCCCTGAGCTATCCTCTCTTTCAGCATTTGAAATGTTTGGGTAAAGAAAGTAAAATTCAAAATACTTGCATATACATTAAACTGAGTTGCTTAAGAGCTATCAAATTTGGAATTTCAGATTCAGAGAAGATGGCGCAATATTTAGAGGAGGAACGTCATATGAGAGAAGAGAATTTAAGGCTCCAAAGAAAACTGCAGAGGGAGATGGAGCGAAGGGAAGCTTTATGCAGACAACTGTCAGAAAGTGAATCCAGCTTAGAAATGGATGACGAAAGGTTTGTGTTCTCAAACATTAAGATCTGTGTCCTCTGTATAAATAAATACTAAAATAACACCCAACCTCTTATATTGATATTTCTACATATCAACTCTGAAAGTGAACTCATATACAATAATGCAAAGAATTTCAAAAGAATACATTGTAAGCGTATCCTTTGTAGGAGTGTGATTTAATTCTTGCAGTGCTGGTTTAGGTTTACCATGAGCAAGAGAATAGTTATACTTGAAGATTGGAAGTGGCTTTTACAACCAGCATATGCATATAGATTTAAATATATATATATATATGTAAACTTGAGAGACGCATGGTAACTTTGTTCTGGACATAAATTCACAAAAGCAAGGGCTTGCCTGAGTTGAACAGCCTACAGCACCCTTAACCTATGCAAATTGTAATTTGTAAGGTGTATAATGTTGCAAATTTTAGTGTTTTGCCAATCCTAAAAGGACCATATATGCAACATTAGATACCAAAAGTGGGATTAGCCACCCTAAGAACTCTTAATTGAGATGTTCTTGCTGTACTGGGTGTGGTATCAGAATTACAAGATCCTGGGTTTTTTTCCTATTAAAAAAAAAAAAAAGTTAGCATCACTTGCATGGACGTTACAGATGGCTCGGTTTTGTGTCTTAAATAGAAATAGTTGATATCTTACTACAGTCTTGCATAATAATGTCATGGCAGAACTTTAAAGCTTGCCCTAAAACGTCTTTCCTTCAAAGGCTAATACTTTGGTTTCTTACTGGGCTCAACCATATGCCAGTATTGGTACAGTTTTATTGCACATTATACTAGCTGTATGAGGGCATCTGAAATAGGGTCATTATAAATTGGAATTCCAATAATCCTCAAAGAAGTTCTTCTTAGGGAGTTTGTATATTTTGGTATTAAGGATAACTAACCTGAATGACTTCCACATAACTTACAATAAAACAAAACATTAGTTATTTTGTTTCAAAGACTAGGTTAGTAGATTAAAGGCAATATTTGCATTTTTTTTTTCAGACGGATTCAGCAAGCAACATCTAGCAGTAGCACGAAGTGTATCACCATTGTGATTCAATGAGCTTTTTCTAAAAGATAACCTAAATTAAACATATGCTCTAGTAATGTCTGTAATTGTTTGCATCTGCTTTTCCATTATCCCTGTTTTATGGGTTAATGTCTCTATTTAAATAGAAATATGCCATGCGGGTTCATCTTAGATGTGATTTTTATATGGAAAATATTAAATACTGTAGCACTTCTAGTTGGTCAAAATCCAAATTTATATTAGCAATTCTTTGTCCAATGTTTGGCCAAAAAGCATATAATATTTCAAAATTAAACTTTTGTTTAATTAAGTGCTCACTAATTTTAGTACTAATAGTATCAAAAATCTGAAAAGGGTACATGCAAAAATGTTGACTAAATTTACATTCTCCTGTAAAACACTTTATTGCACCATTGATGATACTGCATAGACAAGACAAGGTAGCTGACTAAGATGAGGCCATTTTCAGTTGCAAATTAAGCCCATATTTGAACTCAAGTCTTCAGAAGTGAAAAGTGAATGTTAACCCAGGCAGCACCAAACTATTCAAAAGTGGCTGGTTCTATGCTAACCTGATCTGTATATTTTAGAATGTGAGATTAATGCTGCGGAAAATCATTTAAAACATATCAGGGTTTGAAAAAGTTAATCTAATTGTTCTTTACCTTCTTCTGTTAGATATTTTAATGAGATGTCTGCACAAGGATTAAGACCTCGCACTGTGTCCAGTCCAATCCCGTATACACCTTCACCAAGTTCTAGCAGACCTATATCACCTGGTAAATATATAAACCAGTTTCTGGTAAACTTTTGTATGCATCACATAAAAATGTGCATAGTATTATATTTGCTTAAATTGCCTATTAAAGCTTACCTGGAAAAAAGTAAATCAAATGAAAGAGTAATTTTGCCTTAAAACTTTTTCAAGTACTTGAATATTTTTACATATTTTGATTAGAGAAAATTTTGATATAATGCAGCATGTTTTTAAGAATGTCCAGACTAAATCATAATTGTCCATTAAAGGTCAATTATTAAGTGGTTAGCATCTGAAGTTGTATTTTTCTAAAAGTGTGAGTACACAAATTCTCTTATGCAATGTGATTTTGGGCTTGTTTTCTGATGCTTAATGGTCCAGATTTCTTGCATCTCAGTGGTTTCAAACACATTACCAGGAAAATTGCAGGTGTTTCACTTCTTAGTGTATAATTTGATATATATTATGATTTTGAAAATCAATTACAGGAGCATAATTATGCTGGAACAACCAGCTTCACGCGCTCATACAAGTGCACACATTCATGATAATCTAATGTCTTTCATTGTGGAATGTAGTTACAATCTTCTGTAGTGGCTGAGTTTTGGGGGTGGGAGCAAAGAACTTTCTTATGTGTAACACACTGCATCAGACATGTTTCTTGCACATGACACGGTCACGTGTTGTTCCTGCCCAGGGACTGTTGATGGGTGAGGATGCTGGTGCTACTGCCACCAGGGAACGCTAGTGGCCAGGCCACTCATACCAAAACTTCCCTTATTCTGACCTGTCCCTTTTGGTGCTGTTCTGAAGACCTGTCATAGCCTGGCAGCAAAACCCCTTTGCTCCTATAGCTCAGCTCCACTGCTCTGCCATAGTCATATTGGCTATAGCAGCACTTGCTGCACCTGACAGACTTGTCATAGACTCTCTCACCAGCAGTAGGTCTCTGACTATTCTCTCACCTAAGCTGGGTCCTTAGAGTGATGGTGCAGATTTGCTTTCCTGGTGTATCATTCCCACATCAGAACTGTGACCCTACTGATAACTCTATTAACTGCTCCTATCAAAGGGACCTTGAGTCCCTACCCTCCACCAGGAAGTGCCCCAGCAGCAGGGAATGTTGCAAAACAATGGTAAAGTTAACTATAAAACAAAACTAAAATCCTTTAACTGGTGTTTAGTTCCAGTGGAGCTACCTGGTTTAGTAAAGTATGTTTTATGTAGAAATACTCCAGACTATCATTTTGATAATTCACTTGTCCTAGTGTCCTTCCCATCTTGTAAATTAAACCAATATTTCAAAATACTCTAATATTCTAAAGCTTCAAACATGAAAAATATATGCAGCATATTTTTAATGGACTAAGGAGGTGGGGAATCTGACATAATCAACTCAGGGTGTGTGAAATTCCTTAAAATATAATGGGAGATGAAGCAAACAGTTGAGAGAACTTCATGTCGCAGGCACTGTAATAAGACACAAAACCAAGTGTATCCAACTCCAAAGATATCTGGTCATATAAAACATCTGTATGTCTTGGAGTGTTTCCTTTAGAAAACGATGTAATTGAATTTGCGGAAAAGTAGTTTGAAACTATCTAATGCCATAAATTCATGGATTTGCACCTTAGCCCATCACACTTAATGAGTGAATATGCTGGTAATAGGACCAGAATGGTGTACAGAAGCTTTGAAATCCCCAGCTCCAGCTGAGAGAGAATTTCTCTGGTGCAGGACCTGAGGAAGTAGCCACAGACTGACTTCTGAGGATCTCTTTGCAAGCTGAGGTGTGTCAGGGCTGTGGGATGCCGCACTGCAATTTAAATTTGGTCCCCAAAGCAGTCCAAAATCAAGAGGACACAGAGGTGATTTAAAGCCAACTTTGCCCCTCATCCTTCTGACTTCTGTACTTCACCTCTTGGACATACAGCCTGAAATGTCACCCAGGGAGACTGGTTTTAGAATGGAGCTGAACTGTGCTAGTACTCAACAAGAATACTTTTA